CCCCCCTCCCTCCCTCCGTGCCTCTTGATGCACAGCGCCGACGCCGATCAGTTTGCCCTGCCGGAGAGCGTTCGCCTACTCCCGGAACTGGTTCGCCAGGCCCGCACCGAGTCCGGGCGTCTGGCTAAGCTTTCGCTCTTTTCCGCGGGCGGGCCACAGCCGCTGGACTTCGCGGCCGACACCCTCACTCGGACTCCGGTGTCCGACGTTCAGCACAGGATTTACGAGCTGGACGATGCGGCCCTTCGGGCCATTCGCACAGCGGCCCAGCTGGCCGAGCGGTTCCCCGCCAGTGCACTGGCACAGCGGACTGTGCGTCGCCATCAGCCAGCTTGCCTCTTGTTCCCCTTTTCCTTTAGCTCGCCCCTCCTCTCCCTTCCCGGGCCACCCCCGGGCCACATGATGGACTCACGCTGCATGTGCTCTGGGCGATAGCATGCGGAGACCGCCAATGAGGCGGCCCTCCTTGCGCTCGATGTCCTCCGGCGCCTGGATTCGTCGCGCATGCCCGGGCTTGTTCGGCTGCCCGAATACTACCGGTCGGCTGGGACGCCTGTGACGGTGGCCGCCGCCACCGGCCACGGCGGTGGCGATCTCCCGCCCTCGGCCGATGCGTGCCTTCTCGGGCATGCACGCTGCCCATCGGCCATCTTCCGACTGGCCCTGCCAGCCAACCTGAATGTCCGGACCATCGGCGCAGGGTTTGACCTGGTTCCGGCATCCGAGTGGCCGTGCCATTGTGCCACGCACCTGCCCGCGCGCCCGGGCGCCTCGGCGTCCGGCGCGCCAGCCCCGGCCCCCGATCCGGAGGACATCTACGCGTCACTCCTGCGGCTGGCCTACACATCGATGGACCAGCCAAGCGCCGGACCTGGCGCCGGTCGAGTGGCCGGGACCGATGCACCTTGGCCCGGCATCTCGCCTCTGGGCCACTTGGCCAGCGTGGCTTCGGCCGCGCAGTTGACCTCCTCCATCCGGTCGGTGGAAATCCTCCGCGGCCTGGGCCTGCCGGCCGCCGGGGCCTCGCTGCGCCTGGCCTTCCTGCGGGCCCGGTCGTCGGCTTTCATCGAGATACTCGGGCGCCTGTCCATTTCGGCCTCCCTGCGGGCACACCTTCGTCAGGACCAAACCGAGACGGTATGCACACTGGATCCCCTGTCGGACGCTTGCGGCTGGCCAATACGGCCGTCTGACTCTTGCCTTTCCTGGTGGCGCCTGTGCCCCCCGGCGGCTCGCTTCCCGTGTCCCACCTCGTCCATCCCTGACCACTGGCCATAGATCAAGAAGATCTTCGAGGTCTTCCGTGAAATGCTTCAAACCGTCACCTCCCAATACTCGGCTGTCTTCTTCCACGAGGAGGATCACCCGACCAAGACAGAGGACGGGCCGCCCACCGGTCTGACTCTGTCGAAGGTGCGCCCTTGCCCGCTGGATGCCCCATCCCTCCTGTCCCATTCCTCCCACCCCTCGCTCGTGTCCTCTCTCTCTCTCTCTCTCGGTCTCTCCTTCGCCCTGGCGCATGGAAACGACCGCGCCCACGGGCCGCCCCTCGAGGCATGCCTGTCGCCTGTACTGACCGTTGACTCTGAATTCAGCAATTGGCCAACCAGTCGGTCCTGTCCACCTGGACAGCCAATGTCTTTGATGAGCTGGCAAACATGTTGTCCAGGTCCGTCGTACCCTCGCCCCATGGTGGTCTGCCCCCTGCTCCCGAAGCCACTCACATCGCCTTTGTGCCTTCCCCCCGCCCCCCCCCCCCCCCAGTTACATCTCCAACACCACCCTGTCGGGGTCGACATTGAGTTCGCTCTTCCACCAGACCACCGAGCTGGGCTGCTATGCTGGCCAGCGTCTCGGTTTCGACTCGCGCTGTACGTCGGATGTGCCTGGCCCTTTTTATTTTCTTTCGCCCAGCTATCCTCCCCCAGCAAGCCCACCTCGCTCACCTACTCACCTGCCCGCCTGGCCGCCCGCCCGCCCGACGCTTTTCCCCGGTCTCAGTCATGCTCACTGGGCCCTTCCATGTGGCATTTGCCGCGTCGGCGGATCTCATGCTGTCGCGCATTGTCGCGGCATTTGACACCGCGGTACAGACCTCCAATCGAGGGCTTCTCCTGCACCCGCTTCCGGCGGCGGAGATGCAACAACTTTTGGCCGAGCCGTCGGCCTTCGTGGCTGCCCGGGCCGGGCCGGCTACCCGGCTCCGCCCACCGGGCTTCCTGGTGTCCCTGCCGCCAATGGGGATGTTGGTCAATTCGATTGTCACCTGCCTGAACGAGCACCGGTACGCCCCTGGGTCTTTTTCTTTGCCCCCCCCCCCCACACACACACACACACGCCCGTCCAGCACACTGCGCCCGCACAGTGGCGCCTTTTTCCATTTTCTCGGCCATCGTATCTGCCCCATCCTGTCAGGAGTCCTCACACAACAAATGGGTGAAAAAAAAAAAACATTCAAAAAATACTCCCCCCGCCCCCGCCACATCACAGCTCCTACCCCTGGGCCATGATCGGACCCAACACCCGGGGGATCCTAGATGCATATTGGGCCATGCTCCGTCGGTGTTTGGCCCTGCTGGTGACAGCCGCGCCCGTGGCCGTGGGTGACAGCGACATGGCGCATATCACGCGCGGCTCACGGCCCGCGGCCTCCTCCGCCACCTCCTCTCCTGGGGCCTCCTCCTCGGACACCCTGCACCCGAGCGCCAGCACCGATGCCGGGCTCGCTGGCACGGGGCCCGATCCCACGCTTGCCGGCACCGGGGACACCGCCCCGAGCAGCTCGCATCCGTCGCCCGGGCTGCCGCAATCGAAGCCCTCTCATACGGCCGATGCCCTTCCGCTGGTCGGCACGTCGCTCGTCCTGTCCCTGCGAACTCGATGGACGGGCCTGGTTGGGGCCTTCTGGAATCACTTGGTCCCCTTCGTGGTGCTGGCCACCCTGCAAACGTACGGCCTCCTGGCCGTACCGGCCGAGCGGCCCCCAGGCGATGATTCGGACATCACCCCGGCCGCCACGGCCAACGCAGGGGATCTTCCCTTGGACCCAGGGAGCTTTGTGGATCTGCTGCTCAGCGGATCGGGCCTCGCCGCCAGTGCCAGGGCTCCCAGCCTGGTCCTCAAGGTCGCCGACGACCTGCGAGCCATGTTCGCCGAGGCCGAGGCCATCCTCCTGGCCCCGGGGCCCTGAGGCCGCAATAAATAGAGACCGCCCTGGCCTTGCTCTTGTCCATCCAGCTTTTTCCAGGCCCCACATGCGCGTCACTCCCCGGCCCGCCCGCCCTCTACCTGGCCCTGGCTCTCTCTCGCTCTCTCTCTCTCTCTCTCTCTC